CACTCCTATTTTAAAGATATATTAGATTAGTCTTCTGAAAACTAAGGCAGCCAATTTTTCTCTATAAAGTTCCTTCCTCAAATTAATAACCCCAGGCTTTTTCTAGCCACTTACTCAAAATACCCTGGACATAAGGGACGCTGAGGGAATCTCACCTATTTTAGTAATTCCAGCCCATGCTGGTTTCTCCCCCCACCTTCTCCTTCTGCCTCGGCATGTGTGTGTGTGTGTGTGTGCGCGCGCGCGCGCCAGTTTAGGCTTTGTAGAGGTGCAGACACGACCACTGTAATACCGTTTCCATAACTTAACTTTTCTTGTAATTGAAGTTATTAATAGCAAAAGGAAAAGCACGTGACTTGCTCAGCACATACCAAACAAAGGGAAACAATGCTATTTTATTTTTAGGCCTAACACTCGTGTCTCTGTGATAGTGAATTAAATAATCTACATTCATTCCCATCATTTTGTGTTCGTTTTCTCTAGGTCTGCTCACACGGTGGTGCTGGAAAGTGCCATCAAGTTGCAGTCCACTTATGGCAACCTCGTAGGGGTTTCAAAGCCAGAGATGAGAAGAAATGGATTGTCATTGCCCCCCATCTGTGTAGCAACCCTGAATTTCCTTGGTGGTCTCCCATGCAAGTACTAACCAGCACTGACCCCAAAATCAGGTTAGGCTGGGCCATCCAAATCGAAGCCTGCTCATGCAGCCTCCCCCAACTCCCAGCCTGGCATTTCCTAGAACACCCTCACAAATTACCCCTCCCACCTGTTTAGGGTTGCCAACCTCCAGGTGGTGGCTGAAGGTCTCCTGGGATTAAACTAATCTCCGGGTAACAGATCAGTTCACCTGGAGAAAACGGCCACTTTGGAAGTTGGACTCTATGGCATTATAGTCCACTGAAGTCCCAACCCCTCCCCAAATCCCACCTTCCCCAGGATCCACCCCCAAATCTCCAGGTATTCCTGACCTGGAGCTGGCAACCCTGCACCTATGTAAGCAATATCACACTTCACCTCCTTTACCTGTGGAGCCCTATCCATCTGAGCAAGTATCCCCCCATGGTTTTATTTCTTCTCTTACTTCTACTAACCAGCACTGACCCCAAAATCAGGTTAGGCTGGGCCATCCAAATCGAAGCCTGCTCATGCAGCCTCCCCCAACTCCCAGCCTGGCATTTCCTAGAACACCCTCACAAATTACCCCTCCCACCTGTTTAGGGTTGCCAACCTCCAGGTGGTGGCTGAAGGTCTCCTGGGATTAAACTAATCTCCGGGTAACAGATCAGTTCACCTGGAGAAAACGAAGTTGGACTCTATGGCATTATAGTCCACTGAAGTCCCAACCCCTCCCCAAATCCCACCTTCCCCAGGATCCACCCCCAAATCTCCAGGTATTCCTGACCTGGAGCTGGCAACCCTGCACCTATGTAAGCAATATCACACTTCACCTCCTTTACCTGTGGAGCCCTATCCATCTGAGCAAGTATCCCCCCATGGTTTTATTTCTTCTCTTACTTCCTTTATGAACCCCTTTCTCCAAATGGGCACCCAGAGTAGCTTACATCATTCTCCTCTCCTCCATTCGTGTGACTCACTCAAGGTCACCCAGCAACCTTCCCTGGCCGAGTGGGGATTTGAACCTGGGTCTCCCAGATCCCAGCCCAGACCTCTAACCACTACACTATGCTGGCTGAGAACATTTTGCCTTCTATTTTAGTAGGATCCTATTGTTTTGAGCTGCGGTGGCTCAAGTGGTTAAAACGCTGAACTGCAGGCTGTGGAAGGTCAGTAGTTCAGCAGTTCGAGACCCGGGTGCCGCATGACGGAGAGAGCTACCGTCTCTAGTTCCAGCTCCTGCCAACCTAGCAGTTCGAAAGCAAGAAATTGCAAGTAGATAAATAGGGACCACTTCGGTGGGAAGGTAACAGCATTCCGTGCGCCTTGGTGTTTAGTCATGCCGGCCACATGACCACGGAAACGTCTTCGGACAGCGCTGGCTCTTCGGCTTGGAAACGGAGATGAGCACCCCAACCCTAGAGTCGGATTTGACTGGCTTTCAGCAAGGGAACCTTTACCTTTATTGTTTTGTTGGCTACTGATTATTAACATAGGAACTGGCATCCTCTGAGGCAGAGATCCTGAAAGCTACCTGGAAAATCTAGTTTCTTGCTTACCTGGGAGGAACATTATCCAAGGCTGTAGATTTTACACAAGGTAGCTGACAAAGCATCATTTCAGCAGAGCGACTAACAGAGAGAGACGCACTCACATCTGAGCTGGGAAAAATTGGAGTCAATATGCAGTCAAATGCTAAAGAAGTCAAGCTTTCCTTACTGGCTTGATGAAGGCTCCTGTGTCGTCCCATTTCCTTTGCAAAGAACCAAGACTGCTTGCCTACTCAGGGTTACAGAGACAGACAGTGCAAACACCTGATCAGGGATGGCATGTTCACACATGCAAGTCAGTGCTTGATGAACATCCTGGCTTGGGCGGAATGGAATTTATTCGCTGCTTTTGTGGGAGAGGTGTGTTTATACCCTCTGTTGTGGAAGATGTATTGAATTATTTGAATATTTATGCCCTGCTTTTCTTGCCTTTGGGGACTCAAGCAGCTTACAGCCTCGTTCTCCCTGTCTCTATTTCATCCTCACAACAGCCTTGTAAGGTTAAGCCCAAGGTCACCTGGCAAGCTTCCATGGCAGAGTGGAGGAATCAAGCCTCATTCTTCCAGATGCTGGTCTGATCTTCTAACCGCTGATGCTCATACAATGGAAGGAAAAGGAGAGAGACCAGTGTTGAACAGAGTGCCTCTTAAGACCTTAAAAACACCGGGCTTGTAGCCAAGTTTAACTTTCGTTTTCAGCACAAGTGACTTAGGAACAGCTTCCCTAACTATAACTTTCCTTTTTGCTTTGTATCAGGATTAGGGTACTCACACAGACTCCTCCTGCTCTTGGGTTCACACACCAGAGATAGATGCGCTCAAAGTACCCAGTTATTAACAAGGTGATGAAGGGACAGGAGCAACTAGTTTCAGAAGGGTGAGAGGCCAGGGCTCAGTGGCAGAGCATCTGCTTTGCATGGCGAAGGTCCCAAGTTCAATCCCCGGCACCTCCAGTTGAAAGGATCAAGCATGAGGTGATGTGAAAGACCTCTGTCCAAGATCCTGGAGAACCACTGCTAGTCTGAATAGACAATATTGACCTCAATGGACCAAGGGTCTGCTTCAATATAAGTCACTTCATGTGTTCAGTACAAGGGAGCTCATGCAGCCTACGGTTCTAGTTAAACTCAGCCAGGACTCTGCCCCATAAGACTAAACCAACTCACACAAGTATCGGAGGGAAAAGGAGATCTTGCATTGTAATTTCTACAATAAATATACCACATAAACGCTGCAGTATCCTCAGTTACCATGCCTGCTCCCTGTGCCTTCCTGAGAACTTCTCAACCAGAAACACACATAGAGCTGCGCACTTCAAATGAATTATACCTGACATTGTCTTCTATGGAGTCAGATCATTGTTCTATCAAGGACGGTATTGTCTACTCAAACTGCTAATGGCTGTTCAGGGACTCTGATAAATCAATGGACTGAGGGATCTTAGAGCTCTATCTATATTTGAATGCATCGCATAATAGATGGAAACTGCATATGGACTTGTTTTTAGATATCTGGAAACCTTTCATAGAAACTTGTATGTAGATCTGCCACCACTGTTATATTTTTGTCTCTACTTTATGCACCCCTTTCCCCCCCTTTAATTCTATTTTAGTTGCTAGATTTTGAGTCCCCCTCTTTTTTCTGAAATATATATATATATTTTTAAAGGCTTACTAGCTGATCTCTGTAGCTGGCAAAAGCTGGCAAAAGCAAAGTACTCTCTAACACCAAAGTGCTATTCCATCTATGTTTCTCACCTGCTAGATCTGCCCCTCCCCCTGCTCTCCAGCTCTGTCCCTAGGCACACGGCTCTGCCCAGTGGCCCCACCCCCATGAAAGGGAGCCCAGCCTTTGTCAAACAGGTTCCTTTCCATGAGTTGCCAGCCTGAAGGGAACTACATGCTTGAGATGTTCCTTGCAATTTCCACCACCTCTATCACTAAGGCTGCCAACTTCCAGGTGGAGGCTGGAGATCCCCTGGAATTCCAACTGATCTCCAGTCGACATAGGTAGCTTATTCTTTACTCAAAGCATTTTATTCACCTTCTCCTAGAGAAAATGGCTGCTTTGGAAGGCAGACTGTATATGACATTATACCCTACTGAGGTCCCTCCCCGCCCTGCAGCCCAGCCTTCCAGGCTCCACCTTAAAATCTCCAGCTTTTCCAAACCCAGAGTTGGCAACCCTGTTTATAACCCTGAGCAGGCAAGCGGCCTCATTGCAGCTCTTAGGAGAATTCCCTACTGCTGCCGGCTGCAATAGGCTAAGAGGCGCTCCAGGACGCCAGCTTAAGAGTTAAAGTCAGACAGCCAACGCAGGCTATAAGAAAACTAAACAAACTTTAATACAGTACATCCACGGCATGATTTTTTGTAAACATTGAAATAAGACCAACCATCAGCAGGCAACAGCAAAACAAACAGAGCTAGGGCAGTACCAGAGCTAAGTGACCCAGGCTGGCCCAAAGCAGCTGCTTCTTGCAAGATGTGCTGTTCTGTGATCCAGGCTGAAGGATTCCATCCTGTGCAGCTGGGCAAGTGAAGGTGCTCAGGGCCCAGCCTTTGAATTTCAGCCTCTTCCAGAAAAGTGTTGATCAGCTCCACTTGCAAACTTCAGCATCATTGCACGTATACCCCCAAAAAAGTGCTGTGTAACACATGCAGAGTGACTGAATTAAAGGGTAACATACCAGGAAAGTTTTGAACAAGTGGGGGCAAGAGATGCACAAGTGCTGGGGTTCCCACAGCAGGTTCCCACAGAGCTCTTCGGAGCCCAGGAGGAAGAAACAGGGAAGAGTCACCCCATCATCTGCATAGGGGTCCAGAGAGCAATGCTGTCATTGCAACATCTTCCGGGCAGGAAGTGGGCAGAACTTGCTCAGAGCCATGGGGGAGTCCTCGCCACCTTTCCTTCCTTCCTCAGTGGCATCTAGCAGCTGCTGCACATAACAGGAACTGCCAATGAGGACATGACCTGTCGCTTGCATCGTAAGGAGTGTCCAACGCAGGGCTTCCCTGGAAGGGAATGGAACAGCAGGACATCAGGGGCAGTGAAGTAAACTGGCACCGTTCTTAATTTTGTAGAGGGACTGAAGCTTTGCCCACCCATCTGGGTGCCAGAATTCAGAATCGCCTGATTAATCTAAATCAATGTGCTTGGGACCAAGAAAAGACTAAAACAAGCATTTATTATGTATGCAACACTACCACCAGAGGTTGTCCACTAACTTAGCTGTTTCTGTCTAAGTTGGCCCTTGAAGCAACATCTACCTTCCGTGCATTAGCCTTCATAGCCAGAGTGGGATCTCCATGTATGGAAGTACTATACTTTGGAATCCCCAGTGTTGGAAAAGAGGTCTCACTTCATTCATGCCCAGAGGCATCTTGCCAGCTACAGTTGGAACATAGTACTGGGTCTTCATCAGATTTGTTTAGGAAATCTAGGTGCTGCCTCTCTAACCTGCTCAAGGCAGCCTGCAACCAAAACAAGTTCATTACATTGTTTCATACTATAGAACAGGGTTGCCTGATCTGACTCAGGAAATATCTGGGGACTTTGGGGGTGGAGCCAGGAGCAAGGATGTGACATCACTTTTGTGATGTCACTAGGGTTGCCAGGTGAAGCCGACAAACCGGCAAGGAGTTCTGGCTATCACATTTAAGCATTCCTTTTAAAAGCATTCCTTTTAAATGCTTTCCCTCCATTGGAAATAATGGAGAATGGGGGCACATTCTTTTGGGGCTCATAGAATTGGACCCCCTGGTCCAATCTTTTCAAAACTTGGGGTTTTTTTTCAAGAGAGACACTATCAGCTATGTTGAAAATTTGGTGTCTCTACCTCAAAAAGCAGCCCACCCCAGAGCCCACAGATCAATTTTCCATTGTATCCTATGGGGACCGGTCTCCCTACAGTATAATAGAGTGCCCAGTGGCTATGCCCCCTGCTTTCTGACAGCCCTGAAGTGGGGGAGGGGCTCCAAACCAGGGGATCCCCCGCCCCCAACTGGGGATTGGCAACCCTACTATAGAACAACTTGTGCTAGTAGGAGGACCTATATTGCACTTCAGCTGGGGCCACTTGATGAGCCTCCAAGCATCAGACCATTTTGAACCCTTCGCTAGAGCACAAGTGTGTTCTTGACGCCTGTGCAGAAGGACTCTTTACCAGCTCTGGGTCATTACCAGTCCAATTTCATCCAGAAGACACAGAGGCCTAGAACTGGTGTCCACAAACTCGCTCCCATTCCTCCATGCCCCAACCCCAGCTTCTCAGGAGCTGCCTGTCCCCCAATCCCATGAGCATTACAACAGTGGCAAGGGGCCAGGTTTGGAATACCCACTGGAGAAGCATAGGCCCAAGAATAGGAGAGATGGTTCCACCTAATAAGCAAGCAATAAACCCAGGCATTCTTTACCTCTCTGCCCGCCAAAAGTCTCCATCCTCTCAAGCTAGCATTAGATGGCTGGTTTTGACACTTACTTTATGAGCCTCTTGGCCCCGTAGCAACGCATGTCATAGGAGATGCTGTATGCACCATACAGCGTGGCTTTGAAGTTCAGGCAGCCAATGAAGTCCTCTGGATTGGTCCTGTATAGGTCGAAGGTCACGCAGGCCACATCATGCCTGTGGTGAGGTTTGTGGGATAGGGCAAGCTGGTAGCCTGCAGTCTGTGCAGACAGAAGCATGTGAGTGGGCAGACAGTGACAGCTTTAACATGGTCTGTAGTGCGTCAATGATAGATTTATGACTCAGCACTCTAGAGGCTCTGGTTGCTGGCACATCAGTGCCTAAAGGAGCCAGTGCATGAATTTATGTCCTGTACTTACCTTGAGAGTACAGCTGAAAGTTTTTAATTGGCAAACTAGAGGTTTAGTTGGGCCAAGAGTTAACGGCATGCTCTGTGATGCGTTATGGTTGATAGGAAAGATTTTAAGACAGTGTAGTGGGTTCAACCTGAAATACCACCTTGCATTTATATAGTGTTTTTACATACATACAATAGCTCTGTAATCTCTTGTTTCCTCCAGTGCCTGAAGGTACCAAAGCCTTACTACCTAAGAAACGTAAGCATGACACCATCAAATTAAGCTCTGCAATTTGTTGGTCAATAGCAGCTTATTGAGACTTGGCTCCAATCCTCTTTGCCAGCTTGGCATGCAAGTTGTGAGTCCTCTAGGCAGCTCCACATTTCTAGCTTGTGTTGGCTACTTCCGCCACTGTGCTGCAGAACTGGCATTTATGGAGATGCTCAGGTCATTTATCTAAAGTTCATAGTTCTTCAATGACTGATCCTCTGTTCTTCTCCCCCCCCCCCAAGGAATAGACTTGCCAGCATGTCCTACCTACACTGATCCCAGATGCTTAGGAGGAGTGGGCTTTTCTGAGCAGATTCCCAGATATTCTGCACACTAACCTAGTTTTCCCCTTCCTCCTAGTTGCAAGGAGAATGCCACCATTCCTCATAAGCCTTCCAAGGAGTGTTAAGTCCATGGGAAAGGACAGCTATTACTATTTATTTAGTTATATTTATTTATTTGACTTATATCCTGCCCTCTCTTCAAAGCAGTCTCAGGGTGGCTTTGCCTTACTGGAAGAGGTCAAGAATATTAGGGTGGTCACAAGCTTTTCTGTTGAGATTCAGGTACAGTTGGACCCAGAAGCCTTTCCTGGTGCAATACTTCCAAATTAAATAGACACATCAATACTGCTAAACACTGGCATGTGCCATGGCTCACCTGCACTGGATACCAGGATTGCCCTTTGGTCAGCACCAGGAACACTGTGCCTTCCTGCAGTGTTTGGAAGAACTCCTCTGTTTCAACCATGGTGCCATCCTCATCCAGGACAAGGGTGATGGTCCCCACCACTGGCAATGAAAGATGTACCTGCAGGAACATAGGCCCGCAAGGCAGGGGCTGACTAGACAGTACTACCAGCGATTCAGAAAGATAGCCAGAAAAGTCTCAACATCGGGGCTTGTTGTCAGAATACCTGAACAGCATTCTACACACATGGGATGCACCACCACGTGCACAGAAGTTGACAGGACACCAAGCTCAGCACCACCATTAAGCAGTGTCTGAAACAGCACAGAACCCCACATGGCTGATGTGCACTCTATCCATAGCTAGTACCCTTTGAACCAAAACTTGCTAGAAACTGCAGGAGAGAGGAGGTAGCAATAGCTAATGCGGCCATCCTTTCTGCTTCTTCCACTTGTGCTAGACTGAATCTCAGTTCTAGGCTTGCCAGCCATAGCTACAGAGGAAAACTCTCTTCATTAGCTCTTGCCCCGTTGACTGATGGATGCACCAGACCGCCTGTCAACAGGCCATATCTTCTAAAGATTGACTTCACCTGGCTGCAATGCTCTACATCCTTACATGTCAGGTTCAGGTTACCTATAGCAGATCTGAATCTGGGTCTCCAACACTCCAGCCACCACACCACACTGACTCTCATTTTGTGATCTCACTAGAATCTCAGCAAGAAAGGGAAAGCAAGGAAACACAACGTAGATATACAGCCAAGAAGCACAATACCCAGCCCTGCCTCCAAAGCCGGGCTCCTCACGCTCACCTTCTCAAGCAGGTCCCTTAAGCTCTCTGCCATGATCCCCTTGCGTAAGGTGCGGTCCCAGTTGCTCACTCGATAAGGCCGGGCATGGGGAGCAGGCATGGCCCATTGCTTTGGGGTCACAGAGGTGGAACCAGCAGACACGCACCTGAGGCACCAAGAGCAGAGACATTATTTCCACTGGCTCCCTTCTGCTCTAACCAACCTGCTGGATGTGGGAGGGAAGGGAAGCGCTTTCTTCAGAGTAGAAGGAACCACGCTCAGGGCTGAAGGCTTGTATACATCCCCCCACCCCGTCCACAGCTACGTTTCATCCCCCATGTAGAAAAGCCATAAAAGAAGTTTGAACTTACAAATTAACTACAGTGGCCACGGAATGGGTCAACATCCCTAAAGTCTCATTCCTTCTTCCCACCTGCACACAGCCACCATAGCATAGCTGGTTAGACAAGCTTTGCCACGCACTGCAGGCTTGGTGTCTGTGTGTGTGTGGGAGGAAACAGAAATACTTTTCATCACTGATGTTATCAGTGCCATCTTCAGTTCTGGGCTCCAATAACTGGAGCCTTTCTTACAGGATGTCCTGCCTTCATTTTCTGGTGGAGACTTTTCCAAGCAGTAAGAAATGTCAAGGGCCATGTCATAGCAGCCAGCTGTCTTGTAATGCAGAAAGAGGGAAAATACTGAAGATTTGTGATTTTTATGGGACCACTCTGCATATTTCAACCTTGAACAGGGACTCAGTTCTACCCTTTGAAGCAGAACCACCCTCCAAAAACCACTTCTTGCCAGCCAGTTACAGAGACTTGAATGAGCCTTTGGACAATCACATTTAATTAAAGCTATCTTCCCTTCTTCATCCTTCATCTTAGCCACAACCCCAACAAGGGGTGTGTGATGCTCACACCAAGCTGACGTTACCATTTAACCAACTTTGGCTGTGGTCACACGGAGCATTAGCCACACTACAGAGACGGAAGATAGGTGGATTTTCCGGGCGCGATCACAGCGCCACATCTGAGAAGCATAGAGCTCCCGTGGCGAACCCAAGGCTTCCCGCCGAAGATGCGGGGTAAAAAACTAGTACCTCTGAGGTACTAGTTTCCGAAAACCGCGGGGCAAGGGCGGGTGCCTGATCACATTTCCGATGGTAGGTCGTGGCATCCGGCACCTGCCCATGTCCCGTCGCTGAAAGGTTCCCCCCCCCAAGTCTCCACGGGATGCACACAAGCACGCAACGGCGCATGCGCACACTTCGTTTAAAAACAAACACAGCCCCCTCCTCTTTTCCGTACCCCCCCACTCCTGGCTCGGCCTGCTCGAGAGGAACTCTCTGCACCAGGCA